ATTGAAAATATCACTAGGGTATGTAAATATTTTATATAAAATTTTAATTTATATAATATTTATATGTATTTTAGATTCTTGATTAAAATCGACATGGTGATGGAAACGTTGAATAAAACTTAAAAATTTTAAGAATTTTGCTATTATTGAACAACCACTCACGCGTTATATCTAATTAATATCTTAACATAAACGTCATTATGTTGCGACGGGTGATGGATGCTATAGTATACTATAAATTATAGCATAAACAATGCCAATAAACAAAAGATTGTAACAAAATTTTGTTAGATATTGCGAAATGTAAAGGTCAACATTTTAGGTAATTGAGCTCAGCTACTCTTAAAGTCCAGATCTCATTAAAAATGAAAATGATTTTTTTGCACGTTTATGTTTAATGTAACGTATTTTCAGCTTCTGTATTGATTTCAATGGCGTCTGCTCAATGTATGTCTGTCTCAAACAAAGTGGCCCGCCCGCAGAGATGAAACAGACACAGACAAAAAATTGATTATAATGCGCATACCATTTCCTTTATAATATGGAACAAATAATTTTGAGCTTTTTAGAAAATGGTGTTTCGTTCTCTATTTCGCCACGAAACCATGTTACCCTGACAATCGCAAAACCAAAATTTATTGCCAAAATTTAATGTGAGCATAATGCAAAAACAGAAACGAGGAGCAAATCATTATCTCAAATTGATGCACCAGATTTCACAGATTTCGCTCAAGATTTCACGAATTTCATAAAGATTTCACAGATTTCTAAATTATTTTCCAGGTTTCACAAATTAAAAAAAAAATAGGCCCTATGGAAAAATTTTTTGTTCCGTCGTAAAAAAAAACTAAAATATAAAAAATACACTTGAAACATTTTCTCAAAAAGTGGAAAAGAGCATTATGAATGTCTGTGCTGGCTGGGTTAAATTAATAAATAAAAATTTTATTAATTCCATACATTTTGAAAAAAATACTTTTGAATTGTTTTTTCAAAATATTATTTCTTATTTTTTTTTGTCAACTTGAGTAATTGAGTAATTTTCTACATATATGTTTTTTATAACCTTATCTTATTCCTAGTATCTTAAATGAGCTTCGCAAGTGCGTTTTTTGAATTTAACAAACGACGAATGATATCCCAGAAATATAAAGTCACTTTAATTTTATCATACTTATGCTTACGTGGTGTAAGTATTGTAAAGCATTATTGGTTACTGACTTGAAATCTAAACATGTTGGAATTTTTTTAGATAAATTTGTTTATTATTTTTTCTACTCCCTTCTGTAAAATACCCAATCATACACCAATCTAGCTTGCGGGAAGCGCCACTTCACCTAAGAATTTCTTGTCCCACGGATCCGAGCCATTTCGGATATTTCCGGAATATTACCACACCTATGTATTTCTAGCTTTTCAAATTTTTGAATGTTGTTCTGGGTAGTACATAAAGGCAGATTTTCAGCTTTGATTTCAAGATTTTAGGATAGAACTCATATCGTTTTGGTATATTTCTTTACGCGTATGATAAGTTCTCCGGAATAAAGAAGAACTAAATTTACGAAGAATTTTATAGGCAGATGAGGTTTAGATATGTTGGGATATTTTAAGAAAATTAGGGATAACATGAGAGAGGAATTCAGCCGAAATGTAAATAGTATTACGTTAGGATGTAGAAGTTTCTTTGAAAAATTAACTGAAATATTAATTTAACCACAGTAAGATAAAACAATATTTAAAATTAATGAACATTTGAAATTTAACTTATTTCAATAGGATGGAATATCGAATCAAAAGCAAGTTGGCTTACAAACAAAACTTAATTTCATATAAAACAAACGCAAAATGAAATTTTTTCAGATAAATCGACTTTGTGTTTAAGTCAACTCAGTCTAACTACTAATGTGCCGGATATATAAAAATACATCTGCCCTCTTCCCATGTTGTTATTATTAAATATAAAGTGTGGTTTGTTTCTTTATTTAAGAAATGCACTTTTCGTAACGTTTTCTTTAAAACTGTGTTCAGATTGACATCATTTATCAAAAACTGTCATACCGTTATAAAATAAAAACTGTTAATAAAATAAAGGCCAAGTAAGAGGGCGTTTTTTTTTAAATGGTGGTCTCAAGAACGCACAATGTCATAAATTATACATAAATGAAATAAGAACAAACACACTATCTGTTTAAAAAATGCACATTTACTCTCATATGAAAAAACAAATTTGGCAAACATGAAAGCGTCATCATGTAGCTGAAAAAAGGTGCCCCTGAAAAGAAAAGAAAATCGTCAATTTTGACTTACTCTCTAATATCCCCGAAACCACCTGGAGTTTTAAAATATTGCTAAGCAATGCCCCAACGTTCTAGTACCTTTTATCTATATAGTTTCCGAAAACCCAATACGGGGGGAAAATCCGAACTATCCTGTATATGGAAAAGAAATTACTTCAAATTTATTACTTACTAAACAAATTTTGTTGCAAAAATATTAACAAATTTTGTTTAAGAACATACATATAACGTATGTAAGTGAATAAGAGCAACCAATAGAAAGAACTGTTTAAAAATACGGAAAAAACTTGCATTGAATCACCACCTAATAATTTAAATTTTCGGAATGTTAAATCGTGCTGTTTCATTTCGCACGCACAAAGATAGACGAAGACAGAAACGTGGGTGTGCTATTGAGGTTTCTTCAACAATTCTGCCCTCATGCTTGTTTATTCACACGGCCAGCTGCTGCCCTTGCACTTAAGGCCTCTAACCTAGGTCTGACGTGTGTATGGATTGGCTCCGTCTGTCCGAAATATCTTTGTGGCGAATGAATTGTCGATAACCGTTTTCTTTGTTCGAAATTGTTCGAAACAGCGTCAGCCACAATAAGCGCGAATAAACGGCATTAATAATAGAATAAGTATCACAGAAAACCATTCATGATATGTTATTCACTCTCTTTTACGCTATCGTTAAATGTAAAAAAAGAAGTTTTAAAATCGACAGTTGGGAACCGGCAACTGGTTTCCGAGAAAACTACACCGTTACAGCCGTTAACACTCACAAATTTTAGAAGTAGGATCCTATGGGGACCACGTTTAATAGATTGGTCGTTAGTAAACTTACCTAAGGACTGGATAATCCTTTAAAATGGCCAGCGCTATCCCGAAACGCATTAACACACACCGAACTACACTACCTCAACAGACGTTTCCGACAACTGAATCGCGCACAATCGCTAATCAAGATGGCGAGTGCCCCTCCGAAACAAATACTGGCGTCGTATTGGTGGATTTTCGACCAGACGCCAAAAGTATTGCCAACATGGACCAGATTTACCCTAAACTGTGGGTTGAAAATTCGGCAGGGTGTGGTTGGAGGCTCGAATTTGGATGTCTAGTGTGGCATTATAGTGGCACACAAAAATATATTTTTAAGTTTTTGGTATGGATAATTAGACGCGCTTAATTTCCAACCGTTAGCTATTGGAAATTTAGAACCTAAAAATTCAAATTTTTAATAGCCAGGAAGGAAGATGAAAAAACAGATTAGGAGTTAGCCACCCCGAAAAAACGAGGGCGGGGAATTTTAAATCTTTCGAAAGAAAATGAATGCTGCCATCTATGAAAGAGTAACTAAAACCTAACAAAAAAATTTACGGATTTATTTCGGTTCTAAACAATTTTATCAGAAAAAGTTGTAGCCAACTTCGTACTTAAGTTTTTAAATTGTGGGTAACATTGGAACAGCTTCGTTAACGTAAAGATACGGGGAGGGAACAGAATTGCTCGTGATGTTAATGCTATGCCATATATGCTCGCCAAAGTTTTGTCAAAGTGTACCGCGGCTGTATTGATTAATTACCTGCAGGGAATTTAGTTCAAGAGGTGTTTAAAAGTGATTTTGCTTATAATAGAATGTTCACAAAGAATGAAAAAATGTCATAAGATTTATATAGCCTTTTTATTTGGTATACACCTCTGAGTGACAGACGTGCCAATTGATAACTCTCCCAAATTTGAAGATTGACATCTTTATATGGAAAATATGTGTAAATATTTGTTAATGTCCTAATTTTCTTTCCAAGATTAAATTCATAGACTTTACCGATTTGGATTTATAGCCATGTATAGTATGTAAGAACGACTGTAAGACTTCTAAATACATTTCTTAGAAAAAAAAAGTTAAACCAGAGAGATGAACGTAGGTAAATCTTTGAGGTTATTCAGAGACAGAGAGTCACAACCGAACCTTTGGGTCTCAGTAACTAGACAGGCCAATTCGTAACTCTCCCAAATTTGAAGCTAGAGGTCTTTGTATGGAAACCTACCTTATACCATTATGAGGACGAGTAAAAATATATATATATTTTTTTACGAATATATGTGTAAATGTTTGTTAACGTTCTAATTTTCTTTCCAAGATTAAATTCCTAGACCAGTACTTTACCGATTTGGAAAATGAAAAAACGACTGTAAGACTTCTAAATAAGTTTCTTTGAAAAAAAAATTCAATCAAAGAAATTAACTTAGGTAAACCTTTATGATTATTGAGAGAGTCACAACAGAACCTTCTGGACTCAGTGACAGACAAGCCAATTCATCTCTCCCAAATTTGAAGCTTAGCATCTTTATGTGAAACCTAGCAAGGAAGATTTTACAAAAAAAACAATTTTTTCACGAATATTATGTAAATGTTTGTTAACACCCTTATTTTCTTTCCAATATTAAATTACCAATTTCGAGTTATATCTTTGTATAATGTGTAAGGACGACTGTAAGACTTCTGAATAAATTTCTTTGAAAAAAAAAAGAAGTTGAGAGATGAAGCTAGGTAAACCCATATGGTTATTGGGAGTCACAAAAGATCCTTCGAGTCTCAGTGAAAGACAGGCCAACTCTCCCCAAATTTGGACCTTAACATCTTTATATAGAAACCTATCATTAGACCTTATACCATTAAGAGGAAAATTGTCAAAAAAGAAAACATAATATTTTCACGAATACTCATTTATTTTACATGAAAAGTGGCGTTTACAAATATTTTAATCGTAAAGGGTAAATTTTTTACGCGCAAGAAATAAGTTAATTCAATATACATACATACATTACATTAATGCAGTCAAAACGAAAACAAATAAAACATAATACTTATCCACATATTAAGCGGCGATGCCTCTCTACTGCACATTTTTCACGTTCACTGTATCATCTTTCTCCTTTTTCTTTTTTAATTTCTTCTTATCTTTCTTGTCGCAAAGTTCCTTTGGTTTCACTTCTGCCGACGCGCTCTCCTGGTCGGCGACATCTTTGCTATCATTCTCTTCTTTCGGTGAGCATTCCACCTCCATTTTGTTGCTGTGCGGCTCCAACGCAACCGTTTCGTCCATAACCGTGGATTCTTCTTTGGCTTCATCAGTATTCTCGCTGATATTTGAAGTGTCCTTCTGCACAGCTTCTTTCTCAACCTTGCTTAATTCTTGATTCTCAACTGCTTCAGTTTCCATGGGCTGGGCGTCTACTTTCTTGCATTTTGAAACGGCGGCCGTCGCTTTCGCTTCCAAAACGCCAATTGCCCTTTCTATGCCTTTGATGGCGTCCCTTCTAGCACTTCTGATACTATCCTGACCCTGTGTATCGACATTGTCCAACTTTAGAAGATTGCGGGTCAGCATTTCGTCCAAATAGAGATAGTTTTTGTCTTTATAGACTCCAGCAAAAGCTTCCACTTGCTTCAATAGCTTGGCAATATCTTGCTGAATTAACTGGATCTGTTCGATAGGGGATAGGACCTGTTTCTGGATCTGCTGCGGCAGCTGCTGAGCTTCAGGGCACTGCTCTTGACCTTCATTGTTAGCGGATTGTTCAGGAACTGGTCGGGGCTGCGGCTGACCAAAATTTTTTTCAGGTGGGACTCCACTTTTTGAAGTTTGTGAATCGGCACGACCCTCGATGCGAATAGGGATCACCCTTTCGGATGCTGCTTGTCCGGCATTATCTTCTGATTTCGGCGAACCCACGGGGATATTGACCGAGGAAACGAATCTTTGTTGTTCTGTGGGTATTTCTTCATTCGCATACTGGCCGGTAGACTGTGCTTGATTGGAATCAATCGGAGTGGTTTGCCCAGCCCTGCTTGGTTGATCTGTCGAGATAGTCGCGTCTAGAGTTTTACCGACCTTTACTTCTAGTTTTAATGTAAATACTCACTGGCTTCTTTATCGATGGAAGTCGCCGAGTCAGGTTCAGTCTGAGTGGAAATGGTTCTTCGTTCTGGATAAAAAACAGTTTCCTGTTGCGGAGGTTGAGAATATTGCTGGTACTGTTGCGGATACTCTTGTGGATAGTACCCCGGATAAGATTGTTGTTGGTACCGCTGCGGTTCGCAATCAAAATCCTCTCTGTAATGTATGAAGTGTTTGGTAAAGAACAAACAAATAGTCTTGATTGATTTATTAATAGATTGCCGACAGTCATTCCCATAATTTAGAAACTGCTGGCTGTTTTATGGTAAAACACTAACGCTCACGTACCAAATTATTCTTTATAGTAAATAATAAATAATTTTCTTTTCGGCAATCCTGGAGTTTACTTATTTAGTACATGATGCCATCCATACTAAAATTGTCAGTTGGTGCAATCATAGTTCTTTATAGAATTATTCAGCCCTTATTGCCAAATATTCAATTATCATTTCTTGGGTGCCGCTATACTTTTGTATACTCCTTAAACCACTGTCATAGTATTGCGATATAAATAAATATAAATAAACACGTGGTGGCATATTTATTACTTTTGTACTGAAGAAAAAAAAACCTCTCTAACAAATTTGAAAATTTGATTTCATTTTTAACCCATTATGTGCAGTTCATGCATTAGATTCAAAAGAAAAACTAAAATGATGTGCATTTTTTAACTACATCATTGCGCATTTTTTGGGATCGGAGATATTGGCATATAACTAAAATTTTACTATTTTGTATAATTTTCCGGCTAAATCGAATAACTGTAGCAAATTGGCAACATTGTGCACCTCGACGTCATTAGACGACCCGAGTTAAAATTTTACCATCTACTAAACATACAACAGTTGAGCTGCAGGATTATTTTCAGTTGTAAACGATCGATTTTAGAATTATAAGTTCAAAAAGTCGACTTTGAAATATAAGAGACAAAACTGACATTCGTGGCGCATACGCACAAATCTAATTTAACGTAAGAAATTAATGAAAAACAAAATTAATGGTCTGGAAGAGTTGCCTGTCCCTCTGGATTGACTAAAGAACCATTTACTTTTACATTTTACTTTTATTTACTCTAAATTTTAAATCCGTCATTACTCAAAGCTCCAGAACGCTATACACTAGAAATCAGACGAGTCGATTTTAAAAATTGGCGAAGGAGATAGGCAGCAGATGGAGAAACGTACAGATGAGTCGCAAGCACTAAGCTTAGGTAAACGATCATCTTGATTGCATAATGACAAGAACTTGATAGAAGTTAAGAAAAAAAGAAGTCTTTGCCGAAGCTAATTTGTTGGCACATTGGACACAAATATCATAAGGCCTATTTTAAATGAATTCCGCGATGATTTTTAAGATACAAGCAATTAGAAACTGACCTATCAAATGGTGATCCAAATCCCTCAAAGCGCGAGCCGAATGGTCTCTCGAATCTCTTGAAGAACTCTTCGTCATCCCTGGTATGTCTTCTTGGGAACCCCTGCAAATGTTCGGCGAACTGGGGATGACGCTGTGCCAGATCTTCAAGTTGATCTCGGAAACTGCCCTCTGTTCTACCACGTCTATCGAATGGAAAGTTCCGCTGAAAAATCAACATCTGTATTTCATTTTTAACCTGCCGTAATAGCACACTTAGCATTTCAAATCAAAATAAAATCCGCGCTTTGTTCCCATATAGAAAGCAAAACATATTGTAACCGAACCAATTGTGGCAATACAAGGTGACATTTCCAAATTTAGAAGTCCCTTTAACACGTCAGCTTCATTACATACTGCCTTAAAGCAATTTGAACGCTTCCGGTATTTTAGTCACGGGTTGGAAGCAATCAAATGGAATTTAAAACACTGACGGTATTTTGAGTGTTTTGAGCTCTGATAGTCCTGCATGTCTTCTGCACTCAACGAAAAATTTGGTTACGATTAAAATGAAGTAGGTTAGCCGTTAAGTAAAATTTCGTTTTAATTTTTAATTTTGACAATCGTCGAAAAAGTATAAATATAGCAACTTCTTCCGACCCTCGTTCCGCTGCGCTCCTTTCGGACTTAAACGTCATTTATAAAACTTGTTGCATAATATACTAAAATTCTGTTTAATTTTGGGATGATCTAGTTCTAACTCACCAAAGTAAAAGAATGCTAACAAACCTGTTAAGGCGTCATAAACAATATCAAGGCAGAACGCAAGGGACAGGGCTCTATTTGATATTGACCACTATCAAACCAATATAGAACATAAATCTTCAATGACCAGATTACAAAACATATTTAATTTTCATAACTATTTTCTTTATATCGATATTTTTGTTACAATTATTAAATTTCTTAAATGCTGGATGAAAAAATATTTTCTCGGATATAATACGATACAGGACACCTTAATTCAAATATAAACTTGTCTTTGCCTGTTATTTTGCATAATGCAATTAATGTTGTGCTGTACTGTATGCCTAAATTGTCAATATATAAATAAATTATCATCAATACTGAAAGATTTAATCAAGAATTGAAGTCAATGATGGTAATGACATTTTAAAATGAGAGCAATGTAATTCATCTAAATGTAATACAATGCAATAGCAATCAACAAACGCTTATCCAATTTTTAACGTTTACCAATTCCTTACAGAGAAAATCTATTTTCCGTTGGAGAAGTAAGTCGGAGGTATATTTACCGCTTCTTGATCTTCTGTTAGTTAGGAAAAGCAAAAGAATTGAATTATTTACGTAGTATTTTACGTATTTTATCATATACTCGTATACCTATGTATACAGAATTTCGCAAAAATAATCGAAGAAAACGTTTAGTTTAGGTATTATTCTTATAATTAAGGAATGAAAATTTATTTTTAGTTATGTCTAAGCGAACTTATGATAGTGGCGCTAAAAAGAGAAAAGAAGAAAAAGAAGAAGAATTGAAAAAGGAGAAACTTCTAGCTAAAGTTCGCGGATTAACCAATTTATTAAAAAAACTACCGTCGGCACCGAGCTCGACACTAAAACCAATATTGATGTAGATGTAGAAAAGCTTCTCACAAAATAAAACAAGATAGCCGTTGTGCGATTTTTGACTAACCCTGTATAAGACATTTATGGTTACAGGGAGCCATGGCTGACGCAAAAAACGCTCCCACAAAAAATTGCCACAACGCAGTTTCTAACTTCGCAGAATTTTTAAATTCTGTGATGTAAATTGTTAAACGGGACAAAACGTGTCCTTCAAAACATCGTGAGTAATATGACTGTAATAATGGAAGGGCTCATATTTTAATAAATATATGTATGTATTTTCATAGGTCCTACTAGTCCTACTAATCACTTAAAACGACAAATTTTCGCTATTTTATTAAGGAAAATGTATAAAGCAAACATCATCAAACCGTACCCAGTAACTGGGTAAAGCAAAACGATAAATTGGTTACCCCGTATATAGTCACAGTTGCGAAACGCCTTATAATTTGGTTATATGGTCGCGGTACCTGCGGTTAGAAGGACGCCCACCACGTCGATCGCTTCGAGACTGGCCATATATGGTAAAAATGAATAGTCACTTCTCGAAGGTTTTAATTGTTCGACATTTAATTACGACGAGTGAAAAAAATCTGGGGCGAATGCGCAAAATACTGAAGTCAACAGCTGGAAACGGTACAAAAAAACATCACACGTACGACTGCGTTTACAGAATTCGTCAAAAACGAGTGATTCAGAGAGTCATAATTAACATTGCTACTTCCAGGTGATGAAAAAACACGTTTCTTCGCCGATTATGGCGTTGCGTGCGGTTTAGGTTGCGACAGCAGTGTTCGAATTGGTATCTTTTAAATGTTTACCTTTTCGTCATTGCAGTTTGGCCAGGCACTGCCCCGTCATCAGTATTTTTTTCTCATCAACTTGATTAAGAAAGTTTCCCGGCTCAACTTTCTTTTACTTAAAATCTGGTACATATAATGTTTTGATTTAATTATATAAAGGAATTCTACCTGAATGCAAACTGCATTATATTACAGTAGCTATCGACATCGTTGGAACCTGGAAAATTACGTCGTTATAACAGGTTACTCGTCTAAATATTAACAATATATTCAAATGGTCATTAATGTAAATCCTTTAATGCAAATATCTTTGAGGCTACATGATCACAACCAGAACAAAACAAAATTGTTAAGGTATTAAATTCAAAAAATTCTGTAATATTGCTATGTCGGAAAGTTTTGATGTTAAAAAACGTGCCGTAAAATGATTGTTACATCATTTTCAGGTTCGCTGTGAAAAGAAAAATATTTTCTAGTGCATTCGATTGCATTCAGAGTTTCTTTAGCTGTTGGTGGATAGGCTATATCTTCTTTTGCATCTTCAATATTGTGAGCAACGTTCATTACATCTTGGACAATTCGACAATTTGATGAAATTTCTCCAATCGCCTTTACTATCATTTAGGGTGGGTATGTTTCCAGTCTATTCATAAAGTGGAACATTTTCAGCTTTTTCCCGACGAGTTTTGGCCAACTGAAAATCATTTTTCAGAATTTGAGGATCTACGTAAAGCCTGCGTAACATGGTTCCAAGCTTCAGACACCCACAGAGAATATCTGTGCTGTGCAAGTATCCAGTACAAGCAGAATCTTTCTCTTTTGTGCAGTAAACTTTAAATCAAATTTGCGAACAAGCTTTTCGAACAGCTAGCCTGTCATCCACGCTTTTGTGTTGTTTTCATATGTTACAAGGCAAGGGTTTATAGTTTTAAAACAGAACTGCCCCTGCCACATATGCTGCTAGTGGGAGAGTTGTTCGATTATTTAGTATTTTTCTGCCACTGCAATTTTCACCTTTAAGTCTCATAGTCTTGTTTCATTTTGAAAATAGACCAGTTTCACCAAGATTTAGAGTGCCATCTTTGTAGATCTTTGTAGATAAGCTACTGAACGCTTGAAAATTTGCACTCTCACTTTTGAAGCCAGCCGCTGGCTTTAAACTGCAGCGCTGGCCCATTAATTTGCACGTCGCGCCTTCATTGAATTTTGAAGCACTTAAGTAAAGCCTGATCAATATTTTCGTAATTTGATTTTCTGATTTTCTTGGTCGCTATATTGGAGCTACCACTGGTTGCATAACTTTCGATTTTGCCCCGTGTTTTCCAAATTATTGCAATAGAAGAATGAGAAACCTGATAAAAACGGGGGTGAAAACGGATTTCTACAGTTATAGCTTAAGTGTTCAAACATATGTAAGACGCATATATGTTTTTAAGCTACCCTATAACATTTTTGTACGTACTACGCAATAAGCAACCACTTGAGTGCCAGATGTTTTCTTAAAACTGCATTTCTCGCCCCTCGCTCTGTCAAAACATCGATTAGTAGAAGGGCGTCATTTTACAATAAACATAGTTTTGGGGGGCAGTAACATTTTAAGAAATATCTTTCCGGCGTTTCTCGGTTAACTGTGCATTCGAGGGTTGCGGGTTATTGTTTGACTTAAGACTTAAAGGTGAGTGTTGTCACGAGTATAGTATCAGAATTTCATGATGGTTTCGTTTTATTGGCCAAAATACCAAAGTACCAAATGATTTATTTATTGATCGGTTTCATTTTTTTTTTATAAACTATACCTAAGGAATTTAGTTAAATACTGGTGTGTTTTCTCTTTGAACTATTTTAAAAGTTGTTTATTGCACTGTCGCGTGTTGCTGCCCTTCAGTGCCGGTGTGGTTATTTGCGACAGAATACTTCGTGTGTCTCTGCCCTTAGTGTCCATTGCACGATCGGTATAATCAGCACTGGTGATTGCAATAAGTACTATGTTTGTTCTGCCCATAGTACCAATATACCGATGTGTGTTCTGCCCTTTAGTATATTATGACCTCCTGTTTATTGCACTGTCGCGTGTTGCTGCCCTTCAGTGCCGGTGTGGTTATTTGCGACAGGATACTTCGTGTGTCTCTGACATTAGTATCGATTGCATGATCCGAATAATCAGCACTAGTAATTGAAATAAGTACTATATGTGCTCTGCTCTTAGTATCAACCTAAACTCAGTTCAACACATGGAAGAGAAAATTTTTGTCCAAGTAGCTAACAACCCGGAAATAAGCACAAAACGAATGACAGTGGGAACCGGAGTGAGCAAATCTACAGTTTATAGAGTTATTCGCCAAGAAAAGCTACTGCATCAGCTTAATTTTCGTGGTCCTTCTTTTAATGCACGACATAACATTCGCGTCCTTCAACCAACTACCTCCACCAATGCAGGCTCCCACTTTCTCAGGAGACTAGGAATTTCACTGAGCCTGTGACAACTGTGACAAAAGTATTGACAAGCATTAAATTGATTGATGGATATTTAACTCAAATATATATTATTTATATGAGATTTGGTTCGACATCCATGACATTATAAAGAAAATGAGGCAAAAATCTCAATGCACTGCGGCTTTCAGCCAAAAAGATTAAAGATTAAAGATTGGTCAGGAGAATTGAAGTTTTTGAAAATTGGGTAAAAAATTCTGTTCTTCCAAATAGCCCACCAGTCAGCGTAGTACTTTATGCCAGCCATCACGGCATTTTCGCTAAACAACTACCAACGATCGGCGGCAAAAAAGGCAAGAGTTGTTTAGTCAAAATTACCTTTATTTGGAAGATATTCATACAAAAAACAACTAGTTAAGAAGTTTAAGAATCAAATCTTTTGATAAAAACTTATTTCAAAGAGTAACTAACACCGTATCAATGCGATTTGAATCCTACAAAGTTACAAGATAAATCCACAAATGTCAACAGCAAACAATACAACAGAATACACTTATATTTTGTGTTTCAACTTCCTTACTACTACCCTGGACTCGTTTAATTTATTAGCCCTAAAATGTTTACGTGCAGACTAACTATAATACATTTCGTCCTTAATCAACATAATAAACTTCATTTTCCAAATCCTTTTAGTCATTTTCTGCTGCTTGCAGATTACCAATTATCGATTAAAAGGAATAATGCCAAAAGGGAAAAGACAAAATTGAAATTAAAAAATAATTCATTCCTATAAAAAAAAATTATCTTAGACCACGGTGTGTATTAGGGCGCCTCAAAAAAAAATTTTAATTGTGTTTTTTAGCTCTTACCGTCTCAAATGTTTTTCTTTTTGATATAAAAAAAATCCTCACCAAAGATGAGCCCTGTAGCTCAACTCTAAGGAATCGCTATTTTTATTTTAGTTTTTCACTAAAATTAAATTTACATATAATGTACGCGATTTTTTACAAAAAAACAATTTATATTGTTAAAGTTGAGTCTTTAAGCATTTCAAAACCGTATAAAAAAGTACAATTATCTTTAAAAGAAGATTAATACAGCCATTTAAAAATTACTAAATTTCATTATTAGAGTCCCTGTCGAATCTTCCTAAGTTTGCAGAAGTTAAAAAATACTATGTCCTTTGACGTTTCCATTCCATTCTTCATTTAAATATTTAGAGTGAGCTTCTGTTAAAAAATGAGCCGAGTTATGATTAGATATATCAAACATATTCTCAAGGCGATTTTTGCTCCGTAATTTTTTGTTTCTGAGTATTCCTTTTTTTATTTTTTTTTTCAAAACTTTCCACTCTCGATAAACTTTCATGATTTTAATAATAGCGTTATATGGTTGGCAGACGGGAATACCAGTAATTGAATCTGAAACTAAAATAAAAATAGCGACCCCTTAGAGTTGAGCTACAGGGCTCATCTTTGGTGAGAATTTTTTTTATATCAAAAAGAAACATTTGAGAGGGTAAGAGCTTAAACACAAAAATAAATTTTTCTTTGAAGCACCCTAGTGTGTACATTTAGTTTGAAGACTTATTTATATTAGTCCCACTTGGCATTGTGGTATAATTTGGTCGCGGATTTTTTTTTGCGATTTTTGAAAACTTACATCGTCGTGATTGGCGTCCGTTGCCATCTTTTCGACGTACGGCTTTCTGTGCTCAATTATTACCGGAATGTCTCTTATGGTTTCCACGGCGGACATGGTCGCATCACAATATAATCACAATCACCGCAAACTATATTACCGCACTCGGCGCAGTCTATTCCAATTTTAACGTAAACGCGTCGGTCCGTTTTGTTATATATGCCGACGAAACCCACGCCGAACTTTCTAGCGACTTCCCAACAATTTCGAGAACAAACACGAGAGCGGAATAGATGAAATGACGCGACGTTTACGAACAGCAACAACTAAATAGGTTGGGACACGATCGGGTTGCAGATATCGCCCATCTTTTATTTTATTATTTTATTTCATTGCGTTATCCAAATGACTGTTGTCTATAAAAATAACGAACAACATTTGATTGGCAATTAAGATGTATTTACAAGTGGTATTTTTCCATACAACAGGTGATAATCCTGGCTAATAATAGCCGTATATCTAATAATGATTAGCGCTTTTGGCGAGTGGTTAGTACTCGATGGCAAAACAAAATCTTCAGATTAATCAAGCAGGTGACCTCTCAAACCTCCGTTCTGACCTGATGAGCTCCCGGTTCGCCGTTATTTTCTCTGGTACCCATCGTAGGTTACTATCAGGCACATACGTCCGACACTTAAATATTTCCGAGATTCCGCTCGATTGCTTTATGGTATTTGACGGGTTCGCACTTGATTTAAGAAAACTCGTTTCGTTCGACGCGAAATTAGAATGAAATAAGTGTTATTTTTAACCATGCGCACACAACCAGTTTAAATACCGCAAAGTGCCATCCAAAGAATTGGGTTTGGTTTGTCGTGTTTGCCTGGCCAATTAAATGGTCTATAATAAGCAGTAAGACAACTTTGCACCTTTGGAATTAGACAAAAACATTTCCATTTCTCGTTTGTGGCATTCCGTTTGAGTTGGAATTACGAAGTAGATGAAGCTGTGGACTGAGGTTCGAGAAGCCGTACTGTGTTCAAATAAGAACGGCCCGTGGCAGTATCTGAATTTTCTGAAAAGGTGTTTATAAGTACGGTCAAGAGAAAATGCTCAAAAGAAATTCTTAACATTAGCATTAGAGCAAGTGCCCAAGATTTTTTTAAATCTATGATACTGAGATCCAAGCGGCCGCTTTTTAGGAATTTGCACACTGATATTTTTCCGACGTGAAATAGTTGAAAGTTTAGTTGGTTTATATCAGCAAACGCATAAGCAACCTGTTACACTGCTACATTTTTTTTGTATTTCTTCTGAAAGTATGATATAGAGTCGGTACGATTTGCGATGGCATAGTCGGTCATAAAATCAAGCCAGAAGTTGCCTCAGTATTTTACCTGCTTCCACTCGTATACTAAGGATGGGAAAACACACCCATTTCTTGCCATTCCTTTACCTTCATCTATTACGCCCCGTTGTCGTGCACTCTACAGAGATAACACCAATTACCGGATAATTACAATAGTTTCCGCTACAAAACAGGGTGGCATTTTTAAAAAAACTGCTGCAAATGCAAATTCATCGACAAGAAAAGAAGAAATTATCCGCAGTAAGTGGATTAATTACCCAGGTCTAACATGTAAGTTTGTTAAAAATTGTCAAAAATTACAAAACAAACTTGCCGTATGCTACAGACGAAATAATAGCTGAAATGGATCATCAAATTTTAAGATTGGTGTCGCAAATTATTTTTTAATAAAAATGTTGTAAGGCAAGGCACTTTGATATTGTAGTCGTATCTGTTTGGAAGGCAGCTCTACAGACAGTTAACAAAGAAAATTGGATCAGTTGTATAACACATACAGAAAATATAATAAAAGAATACTGGGAAAAAGAGAATACACTTGATATAACGTTACCACCACTTGTTGTTAATATAGATCATTCTCTGGAGTAACAGTTTCAATTTTAGCCCTGATATTGAAGATATTTCATCTCAAATGCAAACTAAATATAGTTTACTTGTATAGTTACTGTTTTCAATTTATATGCTATTGTTATTGTTATTTATAGACTTTTCGTATAATGGTTTATTTAACAAATTGTCATAATTTTTTCGTGTAGATTCACCTACTTAAATATTCGTATATCATTAAGGAACACCCCGATCTATTATTACATAGAAAATACATGAATCCATCTCTGAACATGGGCCAGTTAAATTAATCAATGCCAAGTACAACTGATTCTGTCTTTCTTAGTCCTAAGTAATATAATCGTGATCTTTAGTGGCGGCTGTAATGCACTAACCAGATAGACATTTAGGGCGGAAAAACATCTGTTGCAGTATAAGTGGAAACAAGATGTACGATCTATTTTATTGTCTGGCATTTTATTGCTGACTATACCATCACAAATCGTACCGACTATAGAAATAGGAACTTTTTTATTTAGAATTATTTCATTGACTGTCATAGTAAAATAGGTAGTTTAATCACTTGTTTTCGCGTATTTAAAGACTTAAAGAAGAATCGAACTAAACTAAAAGAAATTATTTAGGGTAAAGTGTATTTCATCATATACTCGTAATGTATACACAATTTCGCAACAATAAGGGAAGCGAAAATTTAGCTTAACCCTTTTTTAATTACCAATTAGGAATGATTCCTTTAATTAAGCAATGGAAATGTATTTTTGATTATCTGTAAATGAATTTATGATAGTGACGCTAATAAGAGAAAACAAGAAAAATGAGAAGAATTTAAAAAGGATAAACTTCTAGCTAAAGTTAGTAAATTAACTTTGAAAAAAAAAATTGTCGGCACCGAGGTCGACAATAAAACCAATATTGAAGTTTAAATTAAAGACATTCAAATTCAAGATGAAGATGTATGTATATATATATATATATATATATATATATATATATATATATATATATATATATATATATATATATATATATATATATATATATATATCCACATCAAAAACTAATCAAGATAGCGAAATCAATGTATCTTGCTCATCTGAATCCCATTCGCAACTAATAATAACAACGTTTCCCGCAAAAATTACAGCAGCTTTATTGAAAAAAAAAACTATATTAACTTTAAGCCTCAAAAAATTCAACAGTACACTGTATCCCATTTTGGTCGCAACTGAGGATTACGTCTATTGTTAGTACTTTTGGTGCTTTTGTGTGAAGCGAAAAATGACGTTAACAAAATTTTCATGACTTGCTTAGTTTTTAAAATACAGGGTGATTTTGGAAATAAGTTTTGGAGCACCCCTCGTATATGGGGTATTCTATGAAATATCGGACAAGTGAATGGCGCATCAGATATAGATTTCAGTGGCGCAGTCAGCTTTTTTTAAATGGTTTTGTTTTGTTTAAAAAAAATTGTTTTTTTTTAACGGAACCCCTATATCTTATAGGCCAATTTGATTCCATTTGACATGAGCTTTTCAAAAATGTATAACAGTATGGATATTTGTACATTTCTGCGACCTAGCGGTGATTTCTCGCGTGCAATTGTTACTATCATTCTGTCCTCCGTTCTGCTGATGTGTTCGTTCCATTCTTTCTTTCTACTGTGTACCCATTTATTCACATTTTCCACCTTGCATGCTCTTCTTATGCTCTCATTTCTCTCTTTGTCTAACAGTGTTTTTCTAGCTATTCTGCGAAGTACTCTCATTTCGTTTGTCTCTAGTAGTTGTTTGGTTTTTGCTGTATCAGGTCGAGTTTCTGCCTTTGTTGCTCTCTCACCTCCGCCTCAATATTACTTAAATTCCATTTGCTGTTGTATAACATTTCCTTCAACTTCCAGTTTGCATCTGAATGGTACTTTTGATGTCGTCATACATTTAGTTTTCTGGGTTAATATTATCGTATTAAGTGATTTGGCTGTGCAGTTAAATCGATGTAATAGACACTGTAAATCCTCTTCATTTTCGGCAACTAATACGGCGTCGTCGACAAACACAGAATACTAATTTCCTGATCGCCCATTCTGTATCCCTTTAGTAAGCGTACATTTCTTATTATTTCATCCATAATGATGTTGAAAGGGGGACTCACTGACTTGTCGGATACCTCGACCTACATTTATTGGTTCGGACAGAACCCCCTTAATTTTGACTCGAATTTGATTCGCTTCATATATGTTTTCTATGGTTTTGATGAGGTTGGGTGTGATTTGCCTATTGTAGAGGAGATGTACTACATGTCTTAGCTGCACACGGTCAAACGCTTTTTCTAAATCAACAAACCAGCACATAAATGCTGGTTTGTTGTATTCAATTGATTTTTCTGTTATCTGTCTTATGACAAAAAGGGGATCTGTGCATGATCTGCCCGATCTGAATCCCTGTTGTTCATCTGCTAAGGATGTTAAGTCGTTAATTTTGTTTGTTATCCCTTTTGGTGTAAGTTTCAGTGTGGTGCTTAAGAGATTTATGACTCTGCAGTTTTTTATCTCCTCTTTTAAACATCAGTATAGTGGTGCTCGTTCGGTTATCTTGTCTTGTTAAAGAATTTTTTGAATTAGGGTTTTTAACTGTAGTGTGAGGTATTGACCACCATATTTAAATAATTCGTTTGGAATGTCATCTTGCCTCAAGTTTCTCTTGCAATATGATTTGTTTCAACTAATTCGTTGATCTCTTTTCTTTGAGTTCAAATAAAGCGCCAGATTTGTTTTTGAAGTCCGTAGAAATCACTTTCCATCCGTTTCGAAAAAATTTCCCAATGTTGGTTTTTTGTTTGTCTTACTAGTGCTGTTGTTTCATTTCGGATTTCTTTATATGTTTCGTATGATTCTTGTGTTTGTGATGTTCTGTAATTGAGGTATGCCATTTTTTTTCTACATTTCTCTTTGATTTCTAGGCAGAACCAAGGGGTTTTATTTGTTTCACCGTTATTATTTCTTTTGATAGTCCGGGTGCCTAAAGCTTCACATGCGGCTTGTTTGATGTTGTTTTTTAGTTTCTTCCAAGAGGTGGCCCGTAACGATTCGATGTTTATTTTTGGTTCTTGAGATACTTGTTCTATTTTCTTTTGAGGTTTGAATTTTAATTTGATTTTTGCAAGTAGCAGACTGTGATCGCTTCCTACATCGGCTGAGTTAAGGGTTCTGACATCCAATATCTGGAGTGGGTGGATATATCTGTTTGTTCTAGATCTCTGACCTCTAGTGTTACCGAATGTGAACTTGTGTTGTTCTTTATGGTCGTAGAATGTGTCGATGATAAGTAGCTCATTGAATACGCATAAGTAGATCGTAAGTTCTCCATTGTCGTTTAGTATATTCTCATTGAACCTTTGCTTGACCCCACGGATTATTTCATTTCCGATGCGGGCGTTGAAGTCTCCAAGAATTATTATTTGTCGGTCGGTTGGCAATGATTGAATTGTATTTTTTGGTGTTGGTCGTAGAAGGACTTTCTTTCTTGTTTTGGTTTATTGTCTTCAGGTGAGTAAACTGATACAATATTAAGTTTCTGATCTTCTGCTTCCATTCTTATAACCATGATACGCGAGATAACATAATTGCAGTCTTTTATATTGGTTTGGTACTTTCTTGATACTGCGATACTACTCCTTCTTTCACTCTTGTTTGCTTTTCGACTCCGCTGTACATCAGTAGAAAGTCATTGTATTGCACAGTTGCAATACAGGTCAGTACCTTTAGCCTTCTTTTTGGTCTCTTGCAAGGCACATATGTCGATTTTATTATTTTTCAGTTCGTTAAGGGTTTCTTGATCTTTGTTATTGAATTATTTTATATTCCAGGTGGCAATTCGCATTATATATTTTTTCT